AATTGCAAATATAAGAAAATGATAAAAAAATTTGTTCAGGACTTTTTTTATTTTAAAATAATTTGTTTATAATCTGAACTATTTTAGTCATATTATTATCAAAAATCAGTAACATTAAGTCTCGCCTTCAATTTGTTAATTATTATGCACCGATCGAGTAAAATTTACCAAAGTTATATCGAAAAACTTAAGTGGATTTCCAGTTTTTTCCTAAAAAAAATTTCTCTTTAATTGTATAAATAACCTTTAAATAAAAGAACCGGATTACAGAAAACTGTGCCAGCGAGTGACTTTTTTCGTTCAAGCTGAATGCAAAGCAATATCGTCCAATTGGAGAGTCCTCAAAAGGATTCCCCATTTGCATACTTACAGACACTTTTTCACATAATGGAATTAACTAAAATATTTATGTATATCTAAACACTTATTGCACGTCCCCTACTTTCATATAACGGCAAATTTACAAACCGCGAAAAATGTGCTTCTGCGGCGACTAATGAAGCCATTCCGCACCAGTTTTCAAGACTGCAAAAATGGACTTAAAATGGGCGTTTCTCACCCTAATTGTAATGTATGTAAATACTTATATGTTTGACACTACTATTAACTTGTCGAACGATTCCTAATCTTTGACAATACATTCATTCACCACGATCTTGAAAACTGACCAAATCGGCGTGACCAAGTCCATGGTCATTTTAATATTATATAAACATTAAAAGGTTTCAAATAAATCTCGTCTCACTTTTTTGTATTTTTCACTTGGTTGCTGAAGTAATGAAGAATAGAAAATTCATAATGGAAAATCATAGTTTTGTTATTTTTTAATTTAATATCTTAAAAACGTGTAGACTTATTGAAAAATGATAAATGAACGTGAGGTTCTAAATTTAATAGCCCTTAATTTGATATATCGTCCTGTTTATAACAATAACGCATTCCATAGATATTACAAGCCAAAGTTTCATTTTCAAGATTCATACACTTTGATTCAATTGCGCGGGCTAAAGATAAGTTTTAGATTAATCTTTCGTGGCCAATAACAATTGGCTGAGACCTAAGACATCATAATATTACTATTACAATGCGGTCAAATAACTTTTATTTTCCCCCATACAAAATCGACCCAGCCTAATGTATAATATATATCAAATATATTGGCACTGAAAAACTTATCCGAACTTATCCGTGGAATGCTCGAATATTCGTTTTATTATTTAAATACGTAAAATAAATATTTTGTTTTAATGGTATTCTTTTATAATGAGGTAATTTATTCATATCAAGTAAGGAAGTGGCTGAGCCTGTATCAATCAATGCTAATATTTTTTCATTATCGATAGTTAATT